ATGACCCCAAAGATGTAATTTCATTCCACTAGACGCCACCTTCTAAAGGTTTTAGCATAATTCAATAGAGGCGTGGTCTGGGAAGCAAACTTTCAACATGTGGACCTTCAGGGCCTTCAAGATCCGCACTGTAGTCTTGGAGCACATATTTTCTGAGCCAGAGTCCACCACGGCTTTTCTGCATATGTCAACCACTCAGTGTTATTACTTAAAGAACCATGAACACTGATTCTTGATTCAGCTAGAGCACTGACTCATAGCTCCTGCCTGAAATCTTTTCTTTGGCTTTTATATACACAAGTCATAAAAATTGGAGCTAAAGGGGGCATTTGAGGTCAACTCTGTTTTGCATGTAAGAAAAATGAGGTCTAAAGACTTGTTAGGCGAGGGAGAGTGGAAAAGTGAGGTGTGCTCTGTTCCCTCTGTGCTCCTTGGTCTTGCAGGGTGCTCCTTGGTCTTGCAGGGTGCTCCTTGAAGTCTTGGGAGTCAAGCTGGATAGACAGACACTGGACCGGGTCTGCATGGCAAGCTGTTGGGCAATGCTGGTGGTGGGGGTGACTCCCGAAGTGGCCCTCAGTAAGCCTCCTTTTTCTCCTCCAGTCACTGCTCCCGTCTTTTGCCATCAGCACGACATGACGGTGGAAAAGCCTGGATCTGCGTCACAGTCCACAATTCACGTGCAGAGAACTGGTTGCCAGAAGCAGCCCTAGTACTCACTGGAGTCCCACCCACCCACCCAGAGAACCAAGCTCAGAGTACTGGGAGCTGCAAGGGCAGACAGAGCACCAAACAGAGAGCCTGGCAGGCTCCCTCCAGCAGCAAAAGCTCCGTGTGCTAATTGGTGTATATGGGATGTGTGAGCACAGGCAAGGTGCCTTCAGTCTCCTGGAAATGGTTTCCTTTGAGAAGAAAATCCTAGGACCCTTCAAAAGTTCCACAGAGGAGTTAGTTGTTCCTGCCAAGAACCAGGAGTGACCAGAAACCTGGAATGGAGGATTCTTGGTGTGGAGGATAGTTCAGTTGTTTTATACATCGCCATCTGTACTTGAAGCTCGTATTTGGCTTAGACTTTTGTAGAGACCCTGCGATGTAGTAGTGGTGCAAGTCTCAGAGGGGAGAACAGAGTGAACTTAATTCACCCAGAGTCTGAGCTGGGGCTTGTTACCTTTTTAGGAATCCTGAAAAGGCTTCCAGAAAGTTCCCAGAACTCTTCTCTTGTTCATTGAAGATGATTTTGGGAAGTTTTAGAAGCTGTGTTCCTAACCCTTACCTCTTTTGCACAATCTGTATAACATGTTACCATGTTGCCAATAAAGTGGGGTCTAAAAGCTAATTTTCAACACTATAATATATCAGCATTTCAACTGGAGCCTTGACGCTTGGCAGGCAATCCCACTGAACAGGGTAGAAGTACAATACACATTTGTTCAACAACTTCTAAAAAATAACCCCCAAATTTCCACATTTGAAATGGACACTTACCAAAGACATAGGCCCCCTTTATTTTTAATTCTTTAAAAGAGTATCCTTTATGCTCTTAGGCAAAACTCTTTGCTCAATGTTGAACACACAGAAGTCAGCACGCATCTGATAGCTAATGAAGGACTATATTCAAAAGAGGAAGCAGAACGCTCTCGCACCTTGCTCTAGTAAGTCTGCATTCCCTTGACATGGCCCCCCTTCCCTCCTCAGGCACATCAAACCATCATATAGACCTTCAACACACACTCTCTGCCATCTACCCCATGCCCTGGCACAAGTGAAGGCCACCTGAGTTCTCTCTCTGTGTGGATTCATGCAAGGATAGATCCCGGCCAAATAATTACTTTCCAGGAACCATATGACTTGGTTCTGTTTCTGTAACACAGCCAGGGTGACATGCCAAAGAGTCGTGTGCAAAGATGGATCTTATTCATTTCATGTCATTGTATCAGAAAAATCCACCATCAGGCTGTTTGCCCATTAATTAAATTGCCTAGCGAGGAGGGAAGAGTTGGGAATGGATTCAGCAAGCTGTTTCTTCCTGTGTTTAAGTGAATTTATATTAAACTTTGAAAGAGGATTATGATTTTTTTCCTTTCTTAATATTGAAGCCATTTTATGAGTCAAAAATGGAAAAGAAATGTGATTATGTGATTTCCTTTTTCTATTAAATTATTTTTACTGCTATTTGTCATTCCTATATCTTCATTAAAACATGGTCATCCCTCAGAATAAAGACTGGATCTTATTTCAGGGTGATGGCGGAAAAGAGCACTGGCCAAAGAATCAGAGAAGCTGCTGTTTCAGAACCACTTGAGGTTTAAACACGGAGCGTTTCTCCCCAAGCCAAGGTGTTTTAAAAACCGTGGTCTTCGCCGCTGCCTTAACTGCCTACCTTCCTCTGAGGCCTGGTAGCTCCAGCAAAAATGTATTATTGAGTATGTTAAGAAAGAGATCTTTCATTTTCTTTTTAGGAAACTGCTGAGATTAGTAATGAGTGTTCTGTTACAAAAGGCACCAAAAACCAGGCCAACCACCTCAGATTCCTGGGTGGAGAAGGCAGAGAAAATGGCGATGAGGAGGGAAGGAGGCACCAGACTGCCCCCTAGTGGCGGTCTGGGCATGACACCTGGAAGGTGGTAGGAGGGGGGCACCAGGTAGCATGACCTACAGAGAACGAAGTGGGGGGAGGAAAAAAGGAAGGGAGGGAGGGAGGGACAGAGGGACAGAGGGAAGGAAGGAAGGAAGGAAGGACCGATCTAAGGAGAGGTCCCATTCATCTCTTACAAGGACATTTAAATACCATAGAGGAGAAACAGAAGTCATAACGTATTTCATGCACACTGGGCCCCAGCTCGCGGGCTTTCTTTCTCAGGTCTGCCACTTTACATTCAGTTCACTGCTCTGGTGAGCACAATGAATGTCGAGATTCCATTAAAGCCCTCAAAGAAAACAAACCCGGGTCCTTCCAGCGAGCCGGCAAGCACTTTAAAAGCTTCACATAAGCTGTCATTTGTGCGTTCAGAAACCCATTAGGACTGCCTCCTTTGGAAATACGTGTGATTCTTGTCGCCTAATTTTAAACATTCAAATTTTCTTACAGTGACCCTTATCCTCAAGTACAAATTTCTCACGCCTCACCAGACAACGCAATCCATTTCTAGGATGCTGAGATGCGGAATGGATTTATTATAGCGAAGAGACATGTCTGTCAGGAGGAAAATGAGAGCCCAGAGTTGGAGGAGAAGGATGCCTTTGAACACTGGGGCATACAGCAAGGTACATGTGGCTTTCAGGAGAGCTACAAGGCTGAGAAAGGAAAGTGGTTACCAACTGGATAATGGAGATGCCAGAGGGCCAGGCTGGGTCACACACCTCCTCTTCCCTCGCAAGGCTTGGACTCAGGCCTGCAGGGACTGTCAAAGGCATGAAAACTCTGAGGCAGGCTCTTCAGCTTGAACCTCGAGTCTCTTGCTCACTTAACGGACTTGGGCAGAGATTGATGTCTTTCAAGGAGCCTTGAGAGCGGAAATTCAAGGTAACTCATAGAAAATTCCATATTCTTTCATTTATCAAAGCCAACATCTTTTTTTTTTTTTTTTTTTGCCCATGAAACGTGGTTTAATTAAATTCATGAAGTCGATATGCTTTCCAGGTTCCCCTTGTAAAGGAGAAAGTATGTCTATGAGCAAACATGAGTGATGTGGGATTTGGAGCCAGCCTGTCCGGGTTCCATTAAATGCCAGGCCCATCACTGACTGGCTGGGTGTCCATACACTGTCTCCCTAAACTCGTTTTCTTCATTACTATCTGCAATAGAACAAACAATAAATAGCAGTTTATTATTTTCATCTTGATATTTGAGATAGAGTGTTTTGGGTTGCCCACCAGAGATGACCACTCAGACACGGTTTATAGTCAATTCAAAGACTTTATTCCAGCTGGCTGGGACTACACTCAGGTATTCAGGACCCAAGTGTAACATTTAGTGTTTAGAGCAAGGGGTTTTTATAGGTAAAATCCACATCCTTGTATCTTACTCGGCAGCTGCAGGGGAGGCTTTATACAAGCAAGCAGTGTAACAGAAGCTAAGTTAGCTGCGGCATTGTGACCTCATGTTCCTAGAATAAAGTTGAGTACTTTTCCACAGGGCTTCCCATCAAGAAGATCAAATTCTAGCTAAATCTAAAGTGGCCTCAGCAAGAATCCAAGATGGAGGAACCTCGGCACTGCCTTGCTCTCACAGTGGTTCTTACACTGTCTGGTCAAGTTGAGCAAGATTCAGGCGTTAACACATCCCTTGGTGGTTCATCCCTTGCCTAAAATACGAAAGACCCTCGGTTTAATATCTGCAAAGCCAAAATAAATACAAAGGAAATCCATAGAGCAAAAAGAAATCATTACTTGTTTAAAGTCTTAAATTGGAAGGTCCTTCGCAGAATATTTGATCTATCTCTCTCTTTTTAAATTTTTTAAATCTTTGTATGTATCTACACATGTGCCATAAAACACACGTGGGGGGAGGTCAGGAGACAACCTGCATGAACTGGTACTAACTCAGGTCATCAGGCTTGGTAGCAAGTCCCTTTACCTACTAAACCCTCTTGACGGCCCCCGTATCTCTTTTTTTTTTTAATGACTAGAATTATTGGGCTTGATATGGCGGCATGCACCAATGATCCCAGCACTTAGGAGGTGTAGACACGAGGGTCAGGAGGGCAGTCATCCTCAGCTACACAGCAAACTTGAAGTCAGCCTGGGTTACAAGACCCTAGCTCAACAAACCAAAAGCAAAAGGAAGGACTGCTCTTATTCACAAAGGTGATATGCAGTATAACAATATAACTTTAGATGTTTTATATTCAAACATATACATATATATATTCCACATCTATAGTATGTATAACATAAACAACACAGTATGAAATTTGGAGATTTTAGAAGAACATGGAAATATGCAACAATCCTAAAATGTATGGATATATATGCAACTTTTGAGCTCATACTATGCACAGTTGTATAGTCATCTGCTTTTTATTCAACAATATGGTGTGAACATTGTGAAATTTGTTTTTTGAAAACATGGTGTTTAATTTCTGCACACATTTTACTAATGAATATTCAATAACTCAAGTCAATGCTGTATCACCGAACGTTTGGATAGTTTCCAGGTTTTGCCTATTATAAAGTATAATGTTTATTTCTTAATTATGAAAATTCCAGTAGAGAAAGTTATGAGCCTTCTGAGGATTTTACTTCCTGTTGCCAGATGTCCTTTTTGAGAAGTCACACCACTTTACACCCTTCTAGGGACATTAAAAATGCACGCTTTCCTGAATGATGGAGAAACGTTCATGAGTCCCACAGGTGAACACGGACTCTCAGTCAACGTGTTTCATTTCCTGGATTTCTAGCAAATTTTAAATCTGCTTCCGGATCACTTGCAGTTCTTCCTTCCCTTTGCTTGTGTTGTGTGTATGTGTTCGTCTGTGCTTTTGCCTGTGTGTGTGTGGAGGCCAGAGAGAGCCTTCGGGATCAAACTCAGGTCCTCAAGCTTGCACAGCAAGAACTCCACCTACTGAATCAACTCTCCAGCCCATCGACTGTGTTTATTTTTTACATTTATCTGTATAGGATAATGTGTGTGTGTGTGTGTGTGTGTGTGTGTGTGTGTGTGTGTGTGTGTGTGTGTACACTGTGCACGTCTGGAAGCCAGAGGTCAACTTTTGGGAGTTGGCTCTCTCCTACCATGCAGAATCTGGGCATGGAATTCAGATCATGAGTGGATGGCAAGCACTTTTATCCTCTGAGACAACTCTCCTACCCAAAGCACGTATTTAAATAACAGTTGCAAGTTTCTAGGGGACAGAGATACCTTTTATAAGCATTACAGCTTCAATGGAAAGGTATCCTGGCATTGGTTTGGTTCAAGGCCTCTGGTTTCTGATACACCATCATTCCGGGATCCTCACTGAAACTCCTCTCGGATATCTTGGCTGCCCCAATTCATGGAGATCCTGCGGGTATGGTTCCACAGAACCAGCAGCTCCTAGTTGGGGTAGATGTTAGGGTGGACCAACCCAAGACCCAGCTGTGGGACTGAATAATAGCTGAGCTGGCCAATCCGGGCCACTGGGGCTATCTCCCTCAGGCAAGGGGCAGAGCCAGCTCCCATAATGTCTTCAGGGTCGGTTCTCCCCTGCCCATGGTGAGGGGCAGGGCCATCCCTCTTGAGAGTGGGGGGTCCAGCTCTCCAGTGAGGGTCAGGGCCAGCTCTCTTGCTGCAATGTCCAGTGAGGGACAGGGCCGGCTTCCCCAGGGCCATCAAAGAGTGGGGTGGGCTCAGGATGGCCCTCTGATCTCATCACTCATGGTTCCTATGGCTCCCTGTGGGTGACACATAAAAGAGGCAGTTAGTGGTACTCAGGCCACATCCATAAGAAGCAATAAACATCATTGACTCTGAAACTATTTTTTTTTTTCCTTCATGCTGTTGGACTTATCAAGTGCCAGTCGAGAACTCTGTCATTGAGCTGTGGAGTCTCGCGTGTCTTGATACTTCTTCTGAGTGTTGGGGTTGCAGGTAGGAGCCACGAGGTACAGCTCTAGTTTGGAGGTTTTTAATAAACATTGCCAGTTAATACTCCCTTCCTATCAAATTTTACCCCCCCCCATTATTCATGAACTATAGTGATCCATTGTCCCAAGCAAGATGCAGACATGTGTTAGTTATAGCCTCACTCTTTGCTAGTCAAAATCCCACTCAAATAACAACTTCCTTCTCCCCTTATTTTGTAGAAAACAAACAAACAAACAAACAGTCTCAGGGCAGTTGCTGCTGTGACTAACGGTGATAAACAATGGGGCCTCAGACTTTGGGAAGTAGAGGCGGGCTCGGATGTTACAGGGCAGGGAGAGCTATGGATAGACCTGTGCTCTGACCTGACGCTGCCCACCTGGTTCTACACTGTTACCCAGAAGTTCTTCAAAATGCTGGCTTGGAAGGGACATTCTGGGACATGCAAATAAAGGAGGGCATAGGATCCCCCAAAGCAGTGGCAGCTGTTGTAGTGAAATGTTGAGACCGGGGTGAATTTTTTTTTTTGTTGTTGTTGTTGTTCCAAATAAGCAAAGGCAACTGATGGGAATATGGAAAGGCATGGGAGAAATAATATTTCATTTAGCAAAATTAGGGGCCTACTTGCGAGCCTGTTAGCATCAACTCCTGTAATGATTTTGCCTGAAATGGAAATGAGTTAGGAATCAAGCAGTTTGAGAATAAGCTCCAGATGGGGACTGCAAGCTATTGGGCAGTATGAGCCACTCCAGGCAGTGAAGCCAGTCAGTCATTGGGAGATTGGGTATCGACTTGCCTTGAAGGGCTCCCTCTTTTTCCTGAATAACAACAGATCCTGGCCTTCTTAGAAAAGTGCTCTGTGGCATTCTTATTGATCAGGTGTCAAAAGGGAGCAGAGCTGTGGCGGGTGTGTGTGTGTGTGTGTGTGGCTCCCTCTCTACCTCCCTGGGACCATGGAGTCTTAATGTTTTCTATTCACTGCAAAAGGACTTCGCTCATCTGACTAGAATTCTCAAGGCATTCCAAACGGTTGATTCATAGTTTCTCCTGGTCAGTTGCTCTCAATGTATTTTCATACCCACTCTGTGTTGTCAAATCAACTGTCATATGAGGTATAAGAGAAACCCCTTGCCTCTGGATAGGGGACACTTAGAAAAATGTCACCCTCCGGCTCAGATCTTTCTAATACTTTCTTCCATGGAGAGAATCCCAATAGCAAGTACAAAGGAAAGAGACTCATTTGAAAGACAAAGTAACAGTAGAACAAGTATTTTCTTAGGGTATTAAATAATGATCTGCTAATTGTTGGATTTAAATCACAGAAAATGGCAGATACAGAGGTGCCTTTTTGAAAGAGGCTCTGAGGCTGGTGAGATAATCCCAGCACTTGGGAGGCGGAGCCACGTGGATCTCTATAAGTTTAAGGCCAGCCTGGTCTACAGAGTGAGTTCTAGGACATCAGGGAATACATAACAGGATCTTGTCTCAGAAAACAATAAAACAAACAAACAAAACATACACACACAAACACACACAAATAAATAATTAATAATGAGAGCGAGGCTGCCAACCCAAGTTTGATTTCTGGAACCCATGTAAGAGTATGTAAAGATGGAGGAAGAAAAATGACCTCACAGAGTTGTCCTCATACCTCTACACTTCCTCTTACACACACACACACACACACACACACACACACACACACACACTAATAATGAATGAGTTATTTTTTTAAGGTGAAAACCTATAGTGGAGATTGTTTTTTACTTTTACTTATACACACATACATGCCATGGATACCCACGTACAAAAAAGCTTTAAATCTTATGTCCCCCAAACAGTCACCTCTGTGATGTCACTTCTGTGATTTCTTGAAGTATTTCATGTGGGAGTCTAGTTCCCACTTTTAGAAGGGTTCTTAGGTGGAGGAGAGAGGGATAAAAAAATATAAGATAGAGAGACCTAGATGATGAGAAGAAAGACAGAAACACAGGATAGCTTCGAGGGGGCCTGGGTCAATACCCAGCAACCCTAAGGTTTATTCAAAAGGACTTTTTATAATATGCCAAGGGGAGAGGCAAAGGACCTCCCCCTTGCAAGATCAAAGCACACTGTACAGCCAAGTGTAGACCCTTCCAAACACCTGGCAACCACACCCATGGTCAAATCATCCATTATGCAGCCCTGCTAATGCATTCTCTGACAGTGAGTAATTTGGACCCCCACAAATTCCCGCTTCTTAATAATATAAATCTCAAGTAAGTGCAGAGCTTAACTCCATGCAACTCTGAATCTGTTTTCCCACTAAGAGCTTGCAAATAGCTGGAATAATCATAGCAACACTCCTGCTCCTTATGGCTATTATATCTCCTAGTAAAGGAGTAAAGGATGATAAAGATAGAATGGCCTTTCTGAATGGCTCTAAGATGTCTACAGCAGTCTTAGCTGCACCAAGCCCTTTTTTAAATCAATAAACTCCTGATGCAACTGCATCAAATCTAAAGACTCTCTTAGCTTCACCATACTATGGTTCATCAACATCAACAGGTTAACATAATTCTAGCATGAATATTACTGTATACAATTACAATTCTCACAAACTTACATCTAAAAGCAAACTCTCAATAGAACTATTTACACTTTACAAACTTTAACAAACATCCAAAAGCAATCTCTTAATATAACTTTTTGCATTTCTTGCTAACAAAACATAGGGTAAATGAACATGAGTTATCATTAATCTACTAAAGGGGCAAGAAAATATTTTTTTTAATTAAAGAGACTGAGGAATATTAACTCCCCCTTTTCTTGATAATTTTTTAAGCTTCATCTTGAGCCTGGGTAGAAAAAACCCAAACCTCTCAATTTCTACACAAAACCAGTTCCATCCATTCCTATATAACAGTTCCATAAACAGTTCCATTTCTACACAAAGTTCATGAGTCACCACAGTTAACAAAACAAATATGCATACACAAAACAATTCATAAGTCATCACAATTAATGAAGTCTATATGTATAAGTGAATTCAAAATTTTCCCATTTTGGCTTTTTCACAGCAGAAAGTATGCAGACCCTCCCTGGTCCCACTGGCTCTCTTGGTGTCTACTGCCAATGACAGGGTGATGCCTTGTGGGCCTCAGATGCTGATGCTTGGTCAGCCGCTGCTCTCGCTGATGCCTGCACTTGTGGCAGGGGCTTCTGAATCCCCTCTCTCGGACCACCAAGTCTGCAGTAGCTGCTCGCTCCCAGACGCTGCTTTCTGTGCCCCAGGTCCCATGCTAGGGAAAAATCTACTAAGTTCCTATTATACTTTCACTATATCCATATACCTAAATCTACATTTCTCAAACTCTGTGATTTACTTATATTACACTTTTAGACCTAACTTAGGAGAGAGAGTGAGTGAGAGAGAGAGAGAGAGAGAGAGAGAGAGAGAGAAAGAGAAAAAACAGAGAAACAGACAGAGAGATACTTATTGCAGCCTAACTTGAACTATTCTGCTTTATATTTACAATTTTACTCCCAAAGAATAGAATATCACCACCTCAACTTAATTCATTACCAGACATGCCTCCTTAACCCGCAGTGCCCCCTCTGTTTTATTCTCTGTACCTAAGCCCCATGTTGGGCGCCATCTGTAGGAGTCCAGCTCCCACTTTTAGAAGGGTTTTTAGGTAAAGGAGAGAGGGGTAAGAACATCAGATAAAAAGAGAGAGCTAGACGATGAGAAGAAAGGCAGAAACACAGGATAGCTTTGGGAGGGCCTGGGTCAAAACCCAGCAGCCCCGAGGTTTATTCAAAAGGGCTTTTTATAATAAGCCAAGGGGAGAGGCAAAGGACCTCCCCCTTGCAAGATCAAAGAACACCATACAGCCAAGTATAGACCCTTCCAAACACCTGATAACCATGCCCGTGGTCAAATCATCCATTATGCAGCCCTGTCTGGGTAAAGCAAGCCCCGATTCTCTGACCCTGAGTAATTTGGGCTCCCACAGTTACAGACCCAGAGGTTTACGAAGCACTTTTAGATTTCTTTTCATTTGGTCATCACATGCCGAAGCACAGTGGTTGTTTCCCACTCATTTCCTAAGTGAAACTGTGGAGGGATTGTCAGGTGCTCTGCTCAAGGCCACCCAGTTCCCTGCTAGTTTGCTCTCTGCTGCTTCTGAGTGTGTCACGGTCCCAGCTGTGTTCTGCTGTGGACAACAGTGTATCACCCTTGACACTCTTTGGTGGGTAAACTTGCCTTGGTTTTGTACCCAGGCACCCTTTGAAGTGTGATTTTTGAGCTGGGGAAAAGCTGTTTTAATGTACCCTAGATAGGCTTAGCAGATTTTTCCCTAGCATGTGCCCATGACTAAGAGAACACAGTGTCTCAAGTAATTTTTTTCAGTTCCCTTTCAGGGTCTGTTTTCTATTCCTTCCTTCCTTCCTTCCTTCCTTCCTTCCTTCCTTCCTTCCTTCCTTCCCTCCTCTTTCTTTTTGTTAAAACCATGTCATCAGAAACAATTGCCTTTCTGAACACACTGGAGATATACAGAAACTATTAGGAAAGAAAGCTTGGTTAAAAATGACTTTTGAAACAACGAGAGTAAGTTAAAAAGAGTGATTCTTTCTGGTTTGAGTTAGAAGCAGGGAGCATTCCTCAATAAACAGTCCTGCAAAAAGCCAGCTCATCTTTAAGAGAAAAGACCAGAATCTCTCTCCATTGTCTCCCTACTTCTCCCCACTTGGAGGTGAGGCTGCTTCAGTACTGGCTGGAGAGAAGAGTTCACAACCCGGCCTCTCTGAACACATACCTGGACGTCTGAAGAGACAGGCAGAACTCATCAGAAACAGCGCTCTAATCCTCAGGAAGTACCGTCCTAAAACACAGACGCCATAGCAACGGCTGATGTGAAGTCCGGGACATTTGCGTTGTCATGTAACCAGGATTAGTTTCCGTAGACAGATATTTCCTGGCTCCAGACAGCTTTAGCGTACCTAAGAGAGTGGAAAAGTTTATGATCAGCTAGGAGTTATGTCAAAATCCTCACTGATGCTCACTAATTAAAGCAAGTTTTGACCAGTTTATTTTTAGGTTTTCCTAAAACAGAATCCCAAACCACAGCGTTAAATAAATGGAATTTCCAACAAGCGAGGGTGAGAAGTTTGTCGGGGTTCTTCAGGTTCACCTTCGGCTCAGGAATTATCACCTCCGAAGCCTCTGAGCACTGACGTCACAAGAGAATTTTCCAAATTGAGAATTTGGGTCTCTTGTTTTATTTTTGAGGTCTTTAAAAGAAGAAATGATAACCTGTTATATTCCTGCTATTATGTGGCAGCTGTCGAGAGAACAGAGAGCCAAGCGGGTGACTCATTGTCCCTTGAACACATCACTCACATTCCCACCCCCACCCGCACCTGTGTTCCGGCTAGACTCTACTTGGAGCCTGCTCACCCTCCCCCACTGCTCTAGGGGACCGGGGACCGTGGCCACAGGCCATCATCATCCAGGCTCAGTCTTCTCCCGGGTCAGCTCCACTGCTCTGACTGCCTGGACCCCTTATCATCTGTCCAACACTTACAACTTGGCTTTCCCTGTCTGCTTTGGATAATTATCTTTCATATCCTACCTCTGAGTTCCATCACTGTCAGCATGGCTTTCTCTCTTTCTGTCTTAAGAAAGAGAGAAAGAGAGAGAGAGAGAGAGAGAGAGAGAGAGAGAGAGAGAGAGAGAGA